TAAAAGATGAATTAGTGGTAGATTGCTTTGATAATTGTTTACGCATTGTTTTTGTTAGGGGATCAGTAGCACCATTCTTCGGCTGAAATGTAACAATAATTTGCGCTGTTATCTAAACTAGACATCTGCTATTTAATGTCAAGATGTTTGCGCCTGTTAAGGTCTAGAAAACCAGAGCAGCTTTTATAAAATCATCTTAGATTAGTACATTTTAGTTGATTTACAGAAAAAAAATTACTAAATTCAAAAGCAATTATATTTTTTCTCGCGTGCCGCCTAATTGGTGACTGCCAACTCTTCAGACAGTCTCAACTAAAAAACGGTAAGCAGAAGAAATAAGCAATTTGTAACAAGTGATTAAGGTAACTAAGAAGCCACAGTTTTGTGAAAGTAAAGGCAAAATTCCCGTCGACATTATGAGAAAATTAGAGAAACACGAATAAGGATTGATGTAACAAAACATGGTTATCAAAATTTAGTGCTGCTATTATTTATCAATGAGAAAATAATGTACTGCAGCAGTATCAATGTCAGAGGCCTACCGTGTTTTAAAATACTTCGGCTTGCCGTCTGTGCCAAGTAGGAGCTAATCGCAAGGTTCGCAAAACAAGTTAAATCTGTGAACGAATAAGTCAAAGTTTTGCTTTACTGGGTTAGTTTCTTATAATATTAGGCTGTAAGAAATTAATTTTAGTGCAATTGTAGAAAATTGAGTTGAAAGCGATCACGGCTGCAAGCCAAAAACACTTATATTTTGTGCTCATAAAAGCTAGATTTGTATTGCTTTACGGTCACAGTAATTTAAAGAAGTGACTTTAGTGAAGTGCATTTTAACACGTTTGGTCAGCAAAATAATTGGTATCAAAACAATGCAGTGACAATTCATTAAAATTTTTTCAGATTTTCACAAAAAATTTTCTTTAGCTTTTGGAAAAAAAAAAGTTAATTTTCCAGTGATTACAAAAAGTTTGAGGATTGAAGTTATATATCAGAAAATGCCTGCTCTTGTTCTGAATATAGCCGTTGAGATCTGTAGGAAACTACAATTTCCAGTCGATTATTTTTTAGCAACAGACAGCTGAGAGAAGTTATAAGAAATGTACGACGACTAGAATATACCGGATATTTAATGCGGTTCTACTCGGCTTTGAGAAGTTGGTGTAGAATGCGTGAGGTGAGTAAAAGAAATATGTTTTTTTCAGTTTTATACATTTTCTGGATCGTAACCTTCAGCTTCAAAAAAATAATATCACCAGTTTTGGAATGATTGTATAGCAGAAAGTTATGGGTAAAACAGCTTCTTTTCAAAATGATTGAAAACTTTTTTTTTTTGCTAAAATTTTGCTTATTTTTTTTTAAGATTTATGGAAATGTTTGAGAGAAATAAGACAATTAAGATCGGTTAAAAGCAGGAAAACACGGTATATTAGATATCGAAAAGTTATTAAATTTTACCAATGGAGATCACAATTACAGGGCTGATGAGAAAGTCATGCAGGGACCTGTCGCGCCAAGTGGGTTTGAGGGGATGACGCAGAACTCACTTCCTGTGGTTTTCCGTTCATTTTTTTTACATTTGGGTCAAGATGTCGCTGATTGCAAGAATTCTGAAAAATTTTGTAATCTCAATCAAAGGAGTTTGACAGCTGAAAGGAGGCATAGCAGAATGTAAGAGCTATAGAAAAAAAACGTTACATTCGAAAATGGTTATATTCAAAAACCTGTTTTTTTCTTTTATGTCTGCTCAAAAATTTTCTCATTCTGTTTCTAGTTCTCACAATAAAGATGTCAAGCAACAATGTTTGGAATTTTGCAACAATGGGAGTTGCAACCAGGTAAGGAGCTCACTTTTCCAAAACCTCTGCTTATTCACTAGTGTTCATGCTTGGACTCAATGAATAGAAAATTTTTAAAGAGTTTGTGGTTTTAAGCGAAGAAAGTTTACCATTTGACAGGGAATAGCGGGAAATGTAACAGCGGGAGAAATAAAGTTATTGTGCCTTAGGTGCTGGCATCTGTTCAAACTTCGTTAGCGTACGTAAACTAGCAGTTTTTGTTACTTCATCGAGTTGAGTGCAGTTGAAACGGAAGTAAAAGAGAGCAATTTACCTGGTATGTTATTTTTTAAAACTTTCTTTCGAAGAATTAGTTTTGTATCTAGTCTTAAGTAATAAAATACTTACTGAGTCACATATTCCTAGCAACCGCATTCTTTATTTCGTAAGATACCTTACTGCTTCTATCTTTATCAGTGATCAATACTACTTAAAAAGTATTGTTTTGAGTAGAAAACGACGGATGTCAAAGGTTATCTTTACTGATGCCGGCTTATATCAGCTAGATGATGCTTTAAGCACTACTGTCAAATGTGAGGCTACGGGGTACAAAAAAATGTATGAGCTTTGCACCTGTTAGATGCTATTATTGCTACCGAGATGTCGTTCCTTCTCTGCAGATCGTCACATCATTTTTTCAACATGAAGGTATGAAAGTGTAGTTTTTCACCTTTCCAGTCTCTTTGCTTATTCAGTAGCGTTTAGGCCTGGACTCAATGAATAGAAAATTTTCAAGAATTTGTGGTTTTAACCAAAAAAAAAGTTTACCATTTGACAGGGAATAGCGGGAAAAAAGTTACTGCGCCTCAGGTGCTGGCATCTGTAGAAATGAGGGGAACAAACTTTGTAAGCGTACGTAAACTGACAATTTTTATTACTTCATCGAGATGAGTGCAGTTGAAACGGAAGTAAAAAAGAGCGATTTACTTGGTATGTAATTTTTTTAAACTTTCTTGTAGAGGATTAGTTTTTTTTACCAAACAGATCATTCAGATGTAGCAAATCAAACTCAGCTGCTTAAGAGAAGGAGGGATATTCAGGGATTTGAAGACTTGGTATAATTTTTGTGCTTATTTTCCACCTGTACCCTGAAACATTTCCATTTAGTTTTCTTGATGTTGATATATTTTTCATTATTTCTGGATACTTGATAACAATGATTTTGTGGAGAGAGCAACTCTTTACAGCGACAGTTTTTGATAGTCCCGACAAAATTGCGAGAATTTGGTGTATACTCCTTAGAAAGTCATCTTTTTTCCAAGTTTTTTGAAACTAGGTTTGTATTAGCACTAGAAAATAAACAAGCTCTGCAAGAACTAAAAAATGGACTATACTAGTGAAAGCATTTGTCATTTTCGACAGAAAAAACCCTATTCCTTGAGCAAAATTTTTTCTAAGAGGATTTAGAAGTTACACCTGTGAGGACGCGGAAATGGCATTTGCAGAATAATAGCTTTTGATATCTTTGAATAATGATCTATGGTTTCTTGCATCCACCGGCCGTAATTATCCTCT